AATGTGAGATTGTGTGTGTGTGTGGTAACAACGCGCAGGCCTAGCTGAATTAGTACACACACGCATATATATAAATATATTTACGTTTGTATATATTTATAGTGTGCAAAATAGCCAAGTGTGCTCTCGACATATAAGTATACATGTATATATGTATGTATCGAGTTCAAATACTAGCAATACGTGTGATCTGTGTGCTTCTCCGCTCTTTTCCAACTTTCCTTCCACTTACAACTGTTAAATGCGCATTGGCTTGCCGTTTTACAAATGTTGATTTCTATTTTTTGCACTTCTGTTACTTTAGATTTTCGCCTGCTTCTTTTTTGAGGTGTTTAAAAGTCGATTTACAACGAAAATGTGATGCACCATACTGTGCCAACATGCGCCCTTACATTGAAGCATATACGTTGTATGCTACTGTAACCTACAGTGGCAAGCAGGAAAAATGCAATAAGCTGTGAAAATGATTATAATATTCACAATGGTAAAAAAAAGTCTAAAAATGTTTTGTTCTTGCATTTTCTGAGAAAACTTACCAAATTTTTTCTGCAATTCAATAAAGAAAAAACCTACCGACTTTTTTAAAAAAGCTTATATTTAAACGTGAAATTTTGCGTTAATAAATTAGGGAAAATAGAAAAAATTCGAAATTTGTTAAATACAAAAAAAAACCAAAAACTGGGTTTTTTTATTTTTGAGGTTAATGAAAAAAGTATCAAACAAAAAATTGGTAGAATTTTTATTTTCTACAATGACTATTTATAAACATTTTTTTATAGGACTTGTAGTTGTACTTAGAAACCCAGTCACCCCCCTACCTTTCATTTCCTGACAAAAGATCGCGCGTAAATTGTTTATCCTTAAATTTGTGTAAATAACTATATTACCTGCAATTTCAAATGACGATTTTGAATTTAAAACTTTTTGTAATTTCGCGGGTCTTTTGTACCTTTAACTCTTAGCTTTTTTCTTTAGATAATGCATAGAGAAGTCAATTACCCTACGAGAATGTGCCAGAAAATTCATACGAAATCGTATACATCGGCTCAGTTAAGATATGGACATCTTCAGTTATTTCGCTCACTGACAAAGTTTGTTCGTTCTGTCATCTTCCTTTGAGTCTATTAAAAAAGGTTAAATTCACTTAAATAAATTTATTTTTGGGGACTGAAGTTACGACGTTACTTGTGATAGTAAGGCATTGACGGAATGAAAATCGGTAGTCAAAAAAATATATGTACTTTTTTATATACTATTTTTTAGTTTGAAATTTACTCTTACATTTTAAATAGGGTTCTGCTTTTGTTTTGCTCACTATTATTGTGATACTAGAGAAGAAATCTCATATTTATGACATTCCCAAGATGAGTTGGTTCTAAACAACTGAAATGAACTGAAATCTATAAAAAACTAACGAAGCTGAATTCGTCAACATACCAGATATAAATAAATAAGCTAATACAAAAATAATAATAAATAAAATTATTTATTGAAAAGCTCTTCATGTTATCCAATTCTTAGCAGCCTTGTCTCAAAGTGGATAATTGAGGTCTTTCATTTCATACATCTATAAGGTTTAAATGCATTTTTACTACTCGCTACTATACAATTATCCATACAAAACTGTGAACCTAAGCGTATATTTAACACTTCCTAGTTGAGCGCACATGGAGCTTAAAAACAGAAAGGTTGTGCAGAAGTTCGTTATATGTACAATAGTTACATATGCCTACGAGTATATGTATGTAGTTACATGTGTACATATGAATATACACATGTTGACATGGTTATGAGAATGCCATATTGTATTTGCTAGTACATGATTAATCCCCATGTGGCAAGTCATGTTTTCCTAGTGGTATAACACAAACATTAACTTTTTCGTATTTTTTCATATCAATTATTTCTATTTGTTTTACCGCTATATAAGTGATATTGGTATAACTTTTTTTATGAATGAAAATCAATATTTTGAAACACCTCTTTGAGATTTCGATATGTTTGTACCATGTATCAATAACCATCACAGCTTAAAATAATTATTTAGAGCTTTAAGTAAGTTTTCTAAAAATAATTTACCAAATTCATTTATAGAAATATACGTGTTCTTGACAACAGAAATTTCCCTTTGCTGTTGGCTGAAGAAAAAATGGAGATAAATATATTATATAGTTTGCTTTCACCACCACCCTTCTTTTAGACTGTCTAGCCATTTGGCACAATATTAGAAATTATTGTATGGGCAAAATAATTATTTAAACTCCATCTGTTTGGAGAAAAATTGGAATTTCCAAACTGTCTGTTACTCGGTAGATGAAGCAAGTCACGTATATCTGAGATAAGTATTTCTTCCATTACTCCAACCAGAATGTGAGACGATGTCATTCGATGACACTACACAGATGGCGCTGGCTTCTTTCCATATAGCTTAGTTTAGTTAAAACAAATCGATGTCAAATTGCTGTGATGACTTCATTTAAAGTTCTTTCGGGCCAATAAATAATACCAGCTCTACAAAATTTGGGTGAGTGGTCGAAATTAGCAAAATTCACCATGTTGAAATCAATTAATGTGCGAGTCTTTTATAGCCTTTTTTGCACTTACATAAATATTCAGAAACCAGCTATCATATTCTCGGTCGATTTAGCTTGAAGATTCAGATTTTAGCTAATTTTCGAATTTGGCCATCATGTCTCATCTATTTGATAGTCAAATAGTGAAGAACTCTATAAAGTTAGGTTAGCATTTATTATAAATAGATATGGTAAAAATCTGAATTCGACTCATCCACAGAGTTTGCCATTACATTAAGAATCAAATGATGAAGAATACTCCAAAGCACTAGACTCGTTCCAAATACTTACCATACTAAATAATACTCTCTAATTCAACAAAACTTTCAAAAATTCGCACTAAACCATTTTAGCATTTTAACTCAATCCAAAGCCCACACTTAATACCCATATCCATCAGCTCATTATTTTACTATCAAATACAAGCTGACTGTCTGTTAATATTATAAGCGGTCACTGCGCTTCCAGTATTTAAACGCCCTTTTGGCCCGAACGAATTCATTTATCTCCCACATACATATAAACATTTTATGTGTTTCGAGAATCCTTCTTTGGTCAAGTCGAAAACGCCTCACTAATTAGGGCGCCAGTAATTTGCAATTGTTTTACGGTGAAGAACGCGGCTTTGCGCCTTCTGTTCGCTGCTGTCCCTCTCCCCCTTCCATCTCTCTCTTTCACATTTAATTTCGTTACGTTTAACATTTGGCCTTGCTTTGTTCTCTTTAAATTGTTTTTGTTTTTTTTTTAAGTTTTTCGCCCTTTCAGTGAGCCAGTGCTGCCCTAGCAGACTGACTGTTCGGTTGGCTGCTTGCTTGGCTTCGTTGGTTTCCGTTTAAGCGTGCGCGCCTTACGTTGTCTCCATGTTGTTGTAGTTGTTGCGCTTGCTCTGTGTACTATCTACCCGTTAAATTTGTTGCACCTTTTTGAAGATTTATTTAAAATTCTTTTTATTGGTTTTCTGCTTACTCGTGCTAATGTAGGTGTCTTCGGTACTTCTGTTAGTCTTCCGTGCGTCTTGCGGAGGCGGTTTATATGACTTCTGCGTAGCGAGTCTCATTTCGCTGGCCCGGTAAAGCAGAAGTCATTCTGTGCACACATGTGCCGCTTTTATTTTATTGTATTTAGACCGCATTTGTTTCTCTTGCTAGGAGTCAGTAGCTGGCGTTTGCCGCCATTAACTCGTCGATCGTTTAAATTTATGGAAAAATGCCAATTAAAATATTATAATGAATTGCTTTGGTTTAATTTTGATTAGCACATTGCGATCGAATGCCAATTGAATTGTGCCCATTCTCCGATTGGCGCATACAAAAATATATATTATTTTAATACAACTGTGTGGGATTGTCGGGGTGACTTAAGTATGTGGTACTATGAAGTGTATATACGTACAACGACGCATACATTTTTGGAATTATAATGCTCTAGTGGTTTAAAATCTAACTCGAATCGTTCACTCACTGTAGTCAGTTACATTGAACCTCTCAGAGATATATCAAACGAGATGAGCTAACACTAAAGAATAGCATTAAGTTAGGTTTTGTTATACTGGTTATCTGTCATGCCATACACAGACCTACAGGTCCTTTGTAATACCAGATGTAGATTCGGCTTAATACGAGCTGAAGTTTACGACGAGCACGACGTCAACGCTTTTTGTGAAGTTTAACAGAGACTTGAAATCTAATTTTTAAACTTCATCCAGTTCCTTGAACTGCGAAGCACCTAGATATCTATGCCGAGTTCTAGATAAGGCCGGATAGAAGCAGAAAAGATGTTTAAGCGTGCTTCCCTCCATATATGTGTCCTCGTTAATAATGCCCATACGGCATGTGATTCCAGTAAATTGTGACCTGAGACTAAGTCAACAGTCTTTTCGAGACCGTATGAGTAAAAACATGCGTGTTTTCCTTCCGTTTATTTGCACATGATCTTGGCGATGCACCTTGGCAGTGCATGCCTTTAAGGTATTTTATCTCTTCCTGATATGTTTGTCAGCTTTTTTGGAAATTTGGTGCCTTGGATATTTCTTCAACTGGTTCGGTAGCCAATTTTTTCTTCTTCTTTTCTAGAAGAACTCATTGAGAAGCTTTAGTTCCACTGGTTTTCACTGCTCCTGTGTGATCTGTCCCAGGGAGTTGCTTCAGTCAATGAGCGCCTCGATTAAGTGCCTTTTAGCTATCTCTCTTGCCGTTGTTCCCTCACTGGAGGTTGAGTATTTTTTTTGGTCCATCCTGACGTTTTGCTTAATAGCGTCGCCTTCCATTCGCTTCGGCCTTTCAACCGACCCGCTGTTTCGATTTCGGCGGATGGCTACCTTTTGACCGCAATCTCCTCCTAGACCCGGTTTGTGAATTTCGGATCCTTCGGCGAGGTTTGCTGTCGGGATGAATAGTACGCTTGACTTTCCTCCATTTCCCCTTAAAGTTATCAGGAAGAGAAGGATGGATATATATCGCTCGCTACCTTAGCTAAACACCGACTGCCCGTATCGCCCAGACCTGCTCTAGCTAAGCAGCGACGTCCATTGCTCGGTCAGCACCCGCTAGGAGGATACAGCATAGATAACTTCCTCCGACTAATAGAGTAACAGCACAGTGTTCAATAGTTTCCGAAGAAATTATTTGCTAAGTATAAAGGTAATGATGTCAGATAATATCGATAACTTTGAGACATTTTGAGCTACCACCATAATTCAAAAAATTAATTTAAAATTTGAGACCCATGTCGTATGATATTACGACGCGCATGCTGTTGAATATATAATATACTAATGATTCAATGAGATGAGTTTAGTTAATTTATAGAGCATAATGGCGGAAGTTTTTTATTTATCAAGAGAGATATGTGTAAAGTTTCAGGCAATGGAATCGAGAACTAAATGTTGACATCATTTGGCTGTCACAATTACTTCTAATATCGATACATAAGATTGTGAAAATAAGAAACAAATTGCGGTTAAATTAATTAACTTTGAGTACAAAAGCTAAATAATAAGTCGTATTTTTTCTAACGAAAGCTTTATCCACTTATAAAAAAATAATCCATAAAAATTTATACGCATGCGCAAACTTACGTGTATTTATTTTATTTATTGTCTTGAATAGAGCGTTTTATTTTTTCTTAGCACTTGCTTACAACTTTCTCCACGCACGCATACAGCTCGTTGGCCACCCGAAGTCACATACATATTCAGAGAAAATCAAGGACTTGTACGTGCGACGAGAAGCTGTGACCTCGATATGTGCAGTATGTTGTTGTAAGGTACTCATGCGCTTAGTATAACGTGAATTCGGTCGGAATATATGAAGGGGTTTCCAATGAGAATATCATTTCTAGGAAAGGTATATTGTTCGAAACTCCAGGTCTCAAAGATTTCGTAGGCTCACTTAGCAACTAACGCTTCACTTAAGATATCCTTAGCAATATCCAGTGTACGTGAAGTGAACCACGGTGAATCTGATTGGTTTAAGCTTCGAGGCAAAACTCGAAAAAGTATATTTGTGAACGACCGACTTTTTGTACAGTTGGGTATACTGTTAGTTGATTATCCCTGAAGAATCTGGATACTCTTTTCTACTCCTATATATATATTCCCTATATACGTAGGAAATGTTTTTCAAATGAACCAAAACAGTTAAACTGGAGGAGCTGATTTTCCATTTTTTACTGGATTTCACTGAAACAGTTTTGATTTTTGTCGAACTTGGATTAAATAAATGTGGCACAATTCTTTTTGATACTAAGCAAGAACTTTGAAGAGCGGATTCAAAGGCAGCGTTTTAGTAGCGGAGGTTAGTATTTTTAATATATTGAACCAGAAGTTTTCTGCTTCTTCTTACCTCACATCTAGGCGCTACTGCAATAAGATAACATTAACCCAACCCGATTAAGGCACCCTATATCCGTTAAGTACTCGCATGTTTATGTGCGCGCGTAGTTGCGAGATCGCGTACGTGAGCTTTCGTTAAACTAGTGCTCGCAATTGATGCTTATGGCGGTCATATTGCTGTGCTCTTTGTTGCTCGTTGCAGATGCGCTATAATTTTCAACAAATCAAAAGGCGCAACTAATGTTGCAAGTAAGAAAAAACATTCATAGTGAAATGTAGCAAAGTAAATGTGCGACGTGTACGTGGCGCAGCGGTGCAACGCAGCCATTTAGCCATAGAGTAGCGACGGCCATATGTTGCACATGCAACATTTCGCATTTTCCATAGCGGATAATACGCTGATTTGCCGCTTAAATGCGAAATGGTCAAACGGCGTCAAATCGTTGTGGCAGGCGCAGAAATATCGGCAGCGAAGTCAGAGGGTAGCTGCTCCACTCGGCAGTGGACTGTTGTTGGTTGCAAGTATGCGCATGTTCAACACGTTGTTGCAACGCACATTTAACACAGCTACGGCTCTTGCCTTTGTTGCAATCATAAATTGTGGTAAGTAAAAAGACTCTTAAGTGCGTAAAAGATGTTCATTATTAAAAAATGATTTACTCGCTCGCCCGAAAAAGAAATCTATGAGTTGATTTGAAGACAACACAGCGGATGGTGAATGTGGCGGAAGAGTTGTGGATTAATGTGGTAGAAATTGGTCATAAATTGCAGCAACCTTGCGTAAACTGAGAATCAGAAAGCATTTTAGTTGAAAAATAAAATGGTTTGTCTTTTTTGTGATTAGTTAGACTATATTGGCTTAGGTTCGCTGGCTCTTTTACAAATTCGTTTTGCAATGAGGAGTTGTAGACAATATTTTTTTTTTTTTGCTTCTAATAGGTGTACATCATTGAAGGACTCGCTTATATAGCATAGCCGTAGGGTTGTGATTGACCTAACTCTACTAAATTCAGCAAACCTATACTTTGTGGAAACTTTCCTTCAAATCATTCTCTCCAGTCTAAATATTATAGTAGTATAGAGGAAGATATTTATTTTCTGACATGCCTTTTTATTTTTTACCAACTTTCTTTGCTAAGCAACTTCTAACACGCTTACGCGAACTCATATTTAAAATATAACATCCGCATTTGTAAAAGGTCTTTTTGACTCTCGACACATATACAATTACTCCTTTAATGACTGATAGGTTAGATAAGCTATGATCTTGTAGATGGTTCTCAATCCGGAGACCACACTTCGACGGTTACAAAGGTCATTGTAATAAAAACATTATTAAAGTTAAAAAAAAATATCATATGAAATGCCGTGAACCCGTCATAAATGTGTCTAATTTTGGTATTCCCCTGGTTGACTAAAAGATTGAAGGATGCTGTGATGACTCTACCTCGCCATCTGTCAGACAACTTCGAAAATGTTCAATTTTTTTTTATCGCAAAAGCAGTAACTCTAAAATTTGCTGTCTACAAATTCTCATAACACCTGCTTGTGGTGAAAAAAATTGCATTCGCGATGGTTGTGGAAAAATAAAAGTATGAAACCCAAGCAAAATCTGCGCCATTAACTAATGTGACTAAAAAATCTCTATTTAAGTTATTCGAAAAAAAAACTTACTTAAGCTTATGGATATATTTTATCTTATATTAACTCAATCGAATATATAATATAATGTAAAAGATTTACTACAATGTAAGCGTACCACGTAAAATGTGTCAAAAATCTGTCTGTTGAAACTATTATGTAACGGGTTGCCACATGCTTTAAATTTAAAATACAATAAAATTAATGAGTTAGGAATTTTATAATGATATAAGTATTGCACTGAAATATTTAAGAAAGTTGCACTTCAACGTATTTTTTGAAAAAGCATTGCCACCTGATTAGAATTTACAATAAAAAAATTATAAAATAAAATATTTATCATGACTCAAATATCACATTTGAAAGTATTAAGAAAGTTTACAGTTCAAAATATCTTTGAAAAAAGTTGCCATCTGAGTAATATTTACAATTAAATACAATTTATAAGTAAAAAAATTTATTACGATACGACTAACACCTTTGAAAGGTTTAAAAAGTTTACGGTTAAAAATATAATTTTTAAAAGTGTTGCCACCTGCATAAAGTTTGTAATTCAATAAATTTTATATGATGACCGAATTATTGTACTACTTTATATCACACTCAAAATATTTAAGAAAACTTATATTTTATAATTCTCTTAAAAATGTTTATGTTAAATTTATTTCAATAATAAAAAAAAATTAAAGTATGTGACAAAAGAGTTTAAAGAAGGCTAATAGTTAAAAAAAATTTTTAAAGTGTTTCCCCCGCTGTTATATGTTATGTATCATTTCATAAAATATCCCTAATTTTGATTGCTCTTTTCACAGAATTAATTATATACGACACGAACAGGCAAGTCTCACTTTGGATATATGTAGCTTTATGTAAGTCTCCGTTATAAATTCCAAAGTTTATTTTTTTCAATAACAATTTTCAAAGATTTTTTTAATTTTATACTTATCACTCTTTTCATAATTAAATTTAATTAAAAAATTTCTCTCAAAAAACAAATATCAAGTTAATTTTTCATTATACAATGCGGATACTGAGATCCGCCATCGTTTGCACCTGTGACTCTGGCTGTGCACATAATTTTGCCTAATTAGCGCATTGAAATGCTTTACAACAGGCACAACGCCAACAACAATAACAACTAGTACGGAGAAATAATAAATAAAACCCATGAACACATTTAACCTTAGATCGCAGCACCGCACAGCTTGCATAAACGTACTGTGATGACAACAACAACAACAATAAGCATAGCAACAACAACTAACTGTTATTGAGTATAATAAAACAAAATACAGTTGTGGCGAGTTGGCGGCTTCGAAGGCAACTTTGTAAGTCACCAAGTAGAAATTTTTAAGCGCACTTAGGCAAGCATGTGTGTGTGAGTGTATCTGTGCGCTTGCGTTTGTTGCGGTTAGTTGCTAGCAAGGTGGCTATTATTGTTATTATTATTATGCTTTATATGTAATATTGACTTGGCTAAAGCCAGTTACCGCAAAACACGTGAGAGTCACACATAAATGGACGCAGTGCTAGAAGGTGGCAATGCTGGCGATGCTGGTGTTGGGGGAGAGGAGTTCAAAGTGTAAGCGGACAAAAGGCACAAGCATTCAAAGCACTTCATATATGTACTCGTATGTATATATTGCTGTGTTTTTTTAATTGTGTAAATAATTGGAAACTACAGCAACAACAGCAACAACAATATTGACAGCTTGTTGTTAGTTTTTTTGCTTCGAAGTTTTAGTTTGCTAGCGAGTAATAGGTACTCTGCTGTATTTATGTATGTAACTATTGGCATTGTGACCTTAATGCTGCGGCTTATTTATCGCATATCGAAAATGCAATAAATTATTAAATTGCAACAAGAAAGGCTGAACTCTATAAAACAAATGCATTTAAGTTCAGTTTAAACAAAATTACAATGAGTGGGCATTTGTGCACTGCACTTGTTTAGGCACACACATGTTTACACACATACAAACTCATGTAGACAGTGACAGCGATGCCGTTATTAATCCGTTAAGCAGCGCGAAGATTTTTTTGTTCATATTTTTACTATTTTAATTTGGTTGAACTAGCTTGACTTTAGGACACTTGGAGAAATATATGTACTTGTA